CAAAACATACCCTAGAAGCATATGGGGAAAAAATCACGCCTTTTTCCTCCTTTACCTGTATGGACTAATCAAAACTTCTAACACCATATCAAAAAGAATCTTTGATACCAATACCAAAAAAAACTCAATCACATGGACAATCCGGAGAGAAAAACATAGAGAATTAAGTAGTTTTGAACAAATCTGCCTAGATCTACGGTGAAAGAAAATTTTCACTATTCATAGGAAAACCTAGAAATATTAATACCCTACATATGTTAAGACCTCAAAGTGGATTCCAAACCCCACAATCCAACCCAAAAACAAGTTCAAGCCCAATAATTTTATGGGCTCTGTAACACAAGTAGAAATTCAATATAATGGTAATATCACATCATTACCGACACATACTGTCACTATCTAATAATAAAACAACACAGGATAGGCGAACCCAACTACTCAAATGTAACTATCATCCAACACAGTTCAATGACTACCACATTCACTAAGTTTGTATATAATTAATGGTGACGCCACATGATCGAGTTTTTTCCTAACAACACACCCAACAATTTTTTTCTTTTTGTGATTGTACACATGTATACCAATGTAGGCCTGCTGCAAGCATGATGTTACTGAGTACTATAAATCTGCTTCCTCTTACCATGAATATGTTACATCTCTTTCATTCTTACATTTCAACCTTGATGACGTTATTGCATCTAAATATCACATGAAATACTGCAAGAAATCATTTTCCCCAGACAGGGTTCTGAGATCTTAAGCATTAATTATCATCAATCTGAATGAATTTAATTCCTTCAACTTCACGCATACCCCACCCACCCCTCACCAGTTTTCACATCATAAAATCAATTAGTAAGTTCTACTGCTACAACTATAATCTAAGGATGATTCCTTTTCCCTTGTTCTGTTGATAAGCAAGACAAAAACTTGTTCCGCAATAAGGAGTTGAACCCTAACCTACGCATTTGGGGTAGCAAGAGATACCACTCAATCTAACATGATGGTTTGACCAGATGTTCCAACCACATGCACATAGCATTATTAGGTTAATAAAATGATCAACAGAAGAACAAGTTGTAACCAAAATTTGATTTTTGACTCTTTTTTTTTTTTTTTCCATACATATTGCATAGTTAAATCAAAATTGCATTAGAGGTGAAAGGTAAGCTGCAGATATTCTTACAAAGCAAAACAGCAAAATATCAGTGATCCCTCATACATCCAGTCTTGAAAGCCTTCCCCAATCCCTCTCACATCAAGATATTCCTCACCCTACCTGCCATGAAGTTGTTGAAAGGTTCAATTAGGAAACTTGAACTCATTGTCTCTACTTGGTTGTTTTATGGCAATCTCACACAATCTAAAACTCCCTGCGATATCAAACATGTGCCACACATTTTCTCATAAAGCCTTGATTGCCTCTAATCTAATATTTATAAAATAAAAAACATGACTTTTAAATTAACGCTTATCATTTATATATTTTTTACGGATAGTCTATTAAGTATTTAAATTTAAATAAAAAGCAACAAATATTCAACAAATCAATTAAATAAAGAGACAAGTCACGTGGCTCGTCCTCACTGTGTCCCTGTGTCCGACACGCTACGACACTTGTTTTGAAGGGCTTTATAGCTCACAACCAATCAAAACACTAGATTCAAAATATTGTGACATGCCAGATACTTCCCCTTGCCAAATACATGTTGCAAAACATACCCTATCCTTGAAGCATATGGGGAAAAAAATCACGCCTTTTTCCTCCTTTTCCTGTATGGACTAATCAAAACTTCTAACACCATATCAAAAAGAATCTTTGATACCAATACCACATGGACAATCCAGAGAGAAAAACATAGAGAAATGGGCATGTTTGATTGGAAGGATTAGAGTATGAGATTGGGATTATTAATCTGTGGGTCCAATTATCCCATGTTTGTTTTGACAATTTGTTTTAGGATTATTAATCCAATGGATAATTAATCCAACAAATTTGTAGGATTATTAATAATGGGGTAGAGGTGGGATTGTGAATACCACACTAATTTGATAGGATTATTTATACCTCACTATTAGTCTTGTAGAATCAAACAAGGCTAAGTAGTTTTGAACAAATCTGCCTAGATCTACAGCGAAAGAAAATTTTCACTATTCATAGGAAAACCTAGAAATATTAGTACCCTACATATGTAAAGACCTCAAAGTGGATTCCAAACTCCACAATCCAACCCAATCCAAAAACAAGTTCGAGCCCAATAATTTTATGGGCTCTGCAACACAAGTAAAAATTCAGTATAATGGTAATATCACATCATCACCGACACATTCTGTCACTATCTAATAATAAAACAACACAGGATGGGCGAACCCAACTACTCAAATGTAACTATCATCCAACACAGTTCAATGACTACCACATTCACTAAGTTTGTATATTATTGATGGTGACGCCACATGTCAGTGATGATGTAGTATCACCATTACATCGAATTTTTTCCTAACAACACACCCAACAATTTTCTTCTTTTTGTGATTGTACACATGTATACCAATGTAGGCCTGCTGCAAGCATGATGTTACTGAGTACTATAAATCTGCTTCCTCTTACCATGAATATGTTACATCTCTTTCATTCTTACATTTCAACCTTGATGACCTTATTGCATCTAATATCACATGAAATACTGCAAGAAATCATTTTCTCCAGACAGGGTCCTGAGATCTTAAGCATTAATTATCATCAATCTGAATGAATTTAATTCCTTCAACTTCACGCATACCCCACCCACCCCTCACCAGTTTTCACATCATAAAATCAATTAGTAAGTTCTACTGCTACAACTATAATCTAAGGATGATTCCTTTTCCCTTGTTCTGTTGATAAGCAAGACAAAAACTTGTTCCGCAATAAGGAGTTGAACCCTAACCTACGCATTTGGGGTAGCAAGAGATACCACTCAATCTAACATGATGGTTTGACCAGATGTTCCAACCACATGCACATAGCATTATTAGGTTAATAAAATGATCAACAGAAGAACAAGTTGTAACCAAAATTTGATTTTTGACTCTTTTTTTTTTTTTTTCCATACATATTGCATAGTTAAATCAAAATTGCATTAGAGGTGAAAGGTAAGCTGCAGATATTCTTACAAAGCAAAACAGCAAAATATCAGTGATCCCTCATACATCCAGAGGCAAGTTTAATGTTGGGTCCTTACATCCAATAAAAGGAGGTCAGATTGGTATCAAACCCAAGCCAAATTATGTAAAGAAACAGGCATGGAAAGAACAACTTAAAAATTCACCAATGAAATGTTTATACCCACCAAACATCTGGATAGAATCTAGAATTAATCTCTATTGATTTTTAAAATAAAATAAAATAAAATCCTTATAGTTTACTTGTTTAACAAAGTGAAAATGATTGCAGCCTTGTGCTACTTGTTATACCAGAAAACAAAAAACAAAAAAAAAGGAAAGAAAGAAAACAAAACAAAAATGGGAAACAAAAAACAAAAACATTATACATATATAACAGCTTTTTTATTTGAACAGAAAATGTAAATAAATGTGTAGACAGGAGAGAGTCAGTCCACCAGACTAAGAATGAACAGGTGTCGAGTAATGAAATAGTACTTTTATTAACCACAAAAGAACCATTTCTATGTATGTGAATTGATGTGATCTATGTCCACATACAAAGAAACAATAATCGAAAGAAAAAGCAACTCTGCAAGAGTAAAATCGCTGCTGATGAATGAGAAGAAAGCATGACTGGTTGTGTGTGAACATTAGTACCCTTTAATCAATGGAAGACCCATATCCTCGGAGCGAAGCAGTGTTAATGCAGCAATATCACTGGAACCTTGCCAAGGCTGATAGCAGCAACCCTTCTATCATAAGTGGTAGTCACAGATTTATCCATCAAAAATCACCAGTGGACAGCTCTCATCTCATGATTTTGTTAAGCAACAGAAGGATCAATATCAACATAGAGAATTCAAGCACAAACTTGACACCCGTCACATGATCAAGAATATGCTGCCACCTGTAAGTTTAACCAGTAGACAGCTGCTGATAAAGCCTGTTTTCCATTTCCAGAATGTTCACTACATTCAGAATGGTTGACTAGAGGACCAAAATTATATATGGTCAAGATTTCTACCAACTGGATTATGCCATTTTGAGTGAAAATAACAAGAATCTTGAAACTCATTGCAACATGCTTATGCTACTAGCTGATAAAAATAAAATAAAAAACATGCCTCTCTGCTAGAAAAATCAACTACCAGGCTAAAAGAACTATGTAACATTAATGCATTATAAGAAACAAAAACCTCAAACTCTTAACATTGTCAGGTTTTCCCTCCCTTCACATTAGGTAATTTCAAGGAGCAAAAAAATACAATATATGCAAGTCCTGTAACAGGCGACCAAGCGGAAGATCATTCCTACAAGCCTAAAGACACCAAATATTTGAAGCCAATAAATAATAGTTAGGACTTAGGAGGCATGGATGGCATCCATAGGGCAGAGGGAGAAGGCCTTGCACATGCATAGATCACTACCAAATGATGAAAGTCTTGAATGCTTAGTTTTGTATTTTGTGCACAAGATGGAGGAAGAACAATGTTTAAAAAGAAAAAGTCGAATAGGAAAGAAACTAAATTAATTTCATATCATGTTTGTGAATTGAATAACAAGTAGTTCATAGTATAAATCTGCCCATCAAAACAAATACTATATTTTTATGCCCATAAGCCACAAAAAGTAACCATAAATGCATAACTGAAACAAATACATTAATAACACTTACCAATTTCCCTCAGATGTGCTATTTTCATGAATAATTTCCTCCTTCGCCAATTCTTCTAATATAGCACGTTGACGTTCATTTACCGCACTGTCAGAATAAAAGATGGAACACAAATGAGATTGCATTTTCCTAGTTCACTTGAAGCACACTGCTTTAGAGCTTTAAACCTGTTGCAAGTAAAATAATGAAGATAAATTTTGCAGCACTATTACTGATGACACAATGCTGGGTTTGGCAATAGCCATTATGCAGGGACAATCGTCCAGTTTTTGTGTTAGTGAAATGGTAAAAAGGATTCTCTTAGTAAAATCATGTGATCAGCATCCAAATAATGAACAAAGATGCCAAGGGAAGAGAATATGAACTTTCAATAAATTGTTTTTCGGTAACAAATTGGGGAAAATAAAAAATCTCATACTTGCCACAGGAAAACGTATAAGAGGAAAAAGAGAAAAGGCAAAGCCTGCATCAGGCCCTCAGCTTAGGTTAAAGAACATTGGTCATGTTCAAGCACCCCTTCGTTTCCGTCCATGTTATTCAAATTCGGCTCCAAAATAGAAGCAAGCTCTCTGGCTTGACTACACAACTTGGTCATGGTCATTCAAAGATTCTTGCACCAGTATAAAGAGGAAGGCTAATCATACTACCAGAAACATGTGATGATTTAGCAGTATCAGTATCCTATAAAAGGTAAGTTGGAAGATCTGCCAAAACTTGATCTTCAAATTTCTAACTTTTAAGCACTCTAAAAAACCACTCATATAACAGTTTAAAGAGTAAAATACAAATAAAAATTGACTAATAATATGCGGGCAGTATGGATTACACTGACAATGATCCTATCATTCGTGGCCTATCTTTTGTGAATTATTATCTTTAACAAAACCTGCAGGGGCTTGTAGTCATATTCTTAGCAGAAAAGCATGGAAATCAAGCTCAAAATCAGTTTCTAGACAAATAACCAATCTGAAAATTAAATGTTTGTAGTCAGCTGTTCACATTTTTTAACACATAATATCTACTGAATCATCAGGAAATCTGACAAGCAATACTTATTGCTGCCCTAATAACTGGCTGTAGCCTTCAATATTGACAATTCTGCATCCCCCATTCAATTTTGTTATCAGATTATTCATTCCTTAATCAGAATTTCAAAACTGACTGAACTTTGTCATGTCACCCATTACGCCCAATCTGTAAATAAAAACTAAAGTTATTAACCAAAACCCATTACCATTATAACAATTTCTAAACACCTGTATGGGAAAAGATCCTAGAAATTTTTCGAGGTACAAATGAACAATTCTGCATTATTATAACATTTGGTTTGAATAAAAAAAATTTAGTAGAGAGAGAAAGTTTTTGAGACAATTACCTTGATTTTCTCATGTTTTCTGGCCAAAAAAAAAAAAAAAAAAAAGCACACCTTCGTAATCGGACTTCAGCATCTAAAACAAAAAAATAAAATAAAAAAAGAGCAGCTTGAATCATCATTTGTCTAGGAGACAGTTTTCTTGCAGTTTCCAAGCATAACTGTATATAGTGGTCCACAAATACTAAGCAAAATGGATATTGAACTCCAGTAACCATCAGAAAATATTTTTTTTCTTTATTCCTACACACCATGACAACAAATGACCAAATTCATTGAAACAGTAATGCAAACAAGAAGTTCACATTTTTTGAGTTAATCTTTTCAATTACAACAGCTTCATAGATGAGGGAAGGAAGCAAAAAGAAAAATTCCTTCCAATAAAATCTGTAATGAGATCAACACCTTCCACTGGACCCCAGACAAAAACACTATTCAAAGCACCATCAGCCTGGGTCAGGCAACCCAAAAGGGACAGATAATATATATATATAAAGAGCCCAAAACCCAAGCTAATTGAACAATGCAACACGAAATTGCATAGCTCAGGAATAGGTTGTAGTTAACAGTATAATTGGAGGTGGAAGCAAACTCAAAATGCAAACAATAATTGTAACAAGAGAAAAGCTTACGTAGGAAAGTTGACGCGGAAGCGCACATACTGATCTCCGTGGTCTACAAGAATCCCATGCTTGGGCAAGCCTGCCACAACTTCCACAATAAGTGCTTTTGAGAGATAGGGAGGGAGAGAGGGAAAGTTAATATTAAGTAAATTTCAGCAGTACAAAATTTGCGATTTCAGTCCACCTTTGCCTCTCAGCACTGTAAGATGTCCATGTTGAACCCCCTTTGGTATCTACGAGGACCACAATGCAAAGACAAGTGGTGGTAACAATTAGAGGTTGAAATTGCTCAAACTAACCAGGCATGATCTTCAAAAGAAAAGCAACAAGAAGAAACTCCAAAATAAAATTAAAAAAAAAAAAAAAAAAGATTTATGTGTAGGTCGTAAACTAAAAAAAAAAAACTAGAGATGGCATTATTTCAAAAGAATAAGTCAGTAGAAAGTAGAGATAGGTATCATACTTTCACTTGCATTTTACCGAACAATGTTGGTACCTCCACCTTACCACCAAGAATAGCCTGTTAAGAAAATTAAAGCTGCTCAATTAACAAAGCACTTTTTGCGTTTTGTGCCCAAATATGTCATGTTAGGTTAGCTACAAAGGCATAATAACAACCTTTCAATTGATAAAACAGATTCACAACTGGGATGTATATAATGAATTGTAAAACCAAAAAAATTCATACAAGTAGGTAATCATGCTAGGAACACAAACAAATCAATTTGTTCAAGCCCCGAGCAGCAGGGATGAACAGTACTATTAAGATGAAGCACACAATCAAATCATTCAGAACCAGGCTTAAAGAGGGACTAACAGGAAGCAAACTTTAGGTCTCACTGCAAGAGTAATTACGTTATTTTGAGGCAATTTGTACAAAGGTATATGCCGATCAAAAAAATATTGTACAACAAAATTTTGATGTCCAAAAATATTATAGATCCAAGAGGGAAATTTTCTTTACATTGAGAAATAATAAATAACCAAAACATTTGGAAATTTTACTCCCAATTAAATCTTGTTCATGATTACCAATAACCTATTAGTCAAGTGTATGAGTAGCTGTGAGACTTCAATTTAAAGAGATCAGAGATCCAAAACTCTTTGAGAATAAATGACAAACTCTTTGAGACTTCAATAAACAAATAAATCATTTCTTCTTCCCACTTCTTTTACAGGCAAGCCACCTCACAGGACATTAGTTACAGGACTGAAAATAATCTTTTTATCAGCAGGACTGATGAAAAAATTTAGAATAACCTCAAAAGGTGCAAGGATTTTGATGGTTACCTATCTCCACATCTCCTTTTCTTTCTTCTTAATTCGTTTCTCTTCCTATCTCACTTACCTATCTCCTATGAAGCACTGGTACAGGTGCGAGTACTGATACGGGTACGATATGGGTACGTCGATACGGTAAAATTCAAAAAAAAAATTGGGTACAGGTACGCTTTGGTACGCTTGTAAAAAATATTTCTTTTGAATTTAGAGTGATGCAAAAATTAATTAAATGATTTAATTTGTTAAGGTCCAACCTACAATTAACATTTAATGTCAAAAATAAAGGTATGAATCAAAATTAAAGGTCAATATATTAAATAACTTACAAACCATAGTTTAATTTTAAAATCATGCTAAGTATAAAACAAAAAATAAAAAAGAAATCTAGTGAAAGGAGTTTTATCTCTATAGTAGAAGAAAATATTGTTTCAACTGAGGTACGGTACGGTATGACTTGGGTATATACTAGGGGGTTGTTTGAGATAAACTATAAAAGTACACTTTTTGACTTTTTGGATAAAAAAGTAGAGGAAAAACAGATGATTATTTGGGATAACTTTTTGATTTTTTACGAAAAAATGTGTATTAAAATATTGTATAAAATAGCAAAATTACTGTATTGCCCCTATGCCCTATGCCCTATGCGTAGTGACAGTGACTATTGAAGAAACAGTACGGATGGCTTTGAATTGTGTGGTGGGGGCAGACATGCTTTAGATTATATATGTATAGGATGAGGCTTCCCTCTAGTCTTCATTGGACCGGAGGGGCCTACCACGGGTCCCGTTTCGATAATTCGAACTGATCAATGTATAGAACTCGTCGAGTACTATATGCTTATAAAAAATCATGTTGATCGGATATCGATAACTACGTGATCAAATCAGTTTTGCATAAAAAAAATGGATGGTGAAAAATAAACTGCTGAAAAAAATCTGATTTGATCACACAGCTATCGATATCTGATCAACGTGATTTTTTACAGGCATATAGTACTCGACGAGTTCTACATATTGAACGGTTTAGATTATCTAAACGGGACCCATAGTGGGCCCCCACGGGCCCAACAACACCCTCCAGTCAGATGAAGAACTGGAGGGAAGCCTCATCCATAGTGCACTGCACAGTGAGGGTACTTGGCTTGTGTATAGTACAAGTGTATTGTTGTACTTGGCTTATGTACTCTTTTTTTTTTGTATTTTTTTGGTGAATAGTAATAACTTATTGATTTTTTTTAATAATTTTTTGACTTTTTGTCTTTTTTAGATTTACTCAAACACCTACTAGGTACGTCTGGGTACACCAAAAATTAAGAAGAAAAATTTTTGGTACGCGTTTCATGTACTCAGTACGTGTTTCGTGTACCCAATACATATGCAGAAGTACCACACGAGGTACCATATAACGGTAAGTATTCGGTACGGGTACGACATGTTTTTCGAAGTACCCATGCTTCATACCCTGTCTCCTAATGCATATAGTTTTACTCATGTGCACATTATCAAACCCAAGATTCCTTCCATCTTCCTTCTTTCCTTAACTAGGTTGTGAACCCTCTTTGAAAAATGCATAGCCCCCACCATTTATCCCAGGGAAAAAAGGGAGGAGGCAAGAACGAAAAATTCAAGAATATGATCTAAAAAGAAATTTCCCAGCATGTTCAAGGTAAAAAACTATACTGTAAACGTTCAGAATTTGTTAGCGCATTGTGAATGCAATGCAAATCAAGGTAACACAAGCAGCCCATTCTCTCTTATTCATAGGACCAGTTTGAGGCTTCTCTCTTGCTTCCTCCTTCATATTCAAGCTATAACTATATTGTAAACCTTAAGAATATGTTAGTTACTTGGACCATTGTGAAGGTTTCAATGCAAATTAAGTCAACACATGGAACACAATCTCTCTTATTCACATAACAGTGGAAGGTGTCTCCCTTAGTCCGTGTCTCTATATCTTAGTAAGTGACATATTGCTGGAAATTGTGTTAATGTATATAATATGATAGTGGTGTTGGTGGTAGATAGTGGCATGTATAGAATATGATAGTGGTGTTGGTGGTAGATAGTGGCATGTATAGAATATGATAGTGGTGTTGGTGGTAGATAATGGCATGTATAGAATATGATAGTGGTGTTGGTGGTAGATAATGGCATGTATAGAATATGATAGTGGTGTTGGTGGTAGATAATGGCATGTATAGAATATGATAGTGGTGTTGGTGGTAGATAATGGCATGTATAGAATATGATAGTGGTGTTGGTGGTAGATAATGGCATGTATAGAATATGATAGTGGTGTTGGTGGTAGATAATGGCATGTATAGAATATGATAGTGGTGTTGGTGGTAGATAATGGCATGTATAGAATATGATAGTGGTGTTGGTGGTAGATAATGGCATGTATAGAATATGATAGTGGTGTTGGTGGTAGATAATGGCATGTATAGAATATGATAGTGGTGTTGGTGGTAGATAATGGCATGTATAGAATATGATAGTGGTGTTGGTGGTTTTGCTCCGTTGAACTTTCCGATGCGGTCGGTGGAGCAAAAAATGGCGGTGCAAACTGATATTGAGGCCAATCAGTATACTTTGAAATCATATGTGGAGACCATGACGGCTGTTACAAATTTGTCGAACCGGCTGCAGAGTAGGACAAATGAGGTGCAGCAGTTAAACGCCCAACTGGCTCTGCTCCAACGCATGTATAAGGATGAGCGAGCAGAGATAAGTGGGCTAAAGGCGGAAAACAATGAGCTGAAGCGGAAGGCCACCGTGATGTTTCGATTTGGAGGTCCGCCATATGTTGCAGTGGAGGAGTATGGGGGAGTAAACGTGCTCGGTGGCGTGGAAAACACGGAGGCAGCACCGGCAAGGGCCGCCCAGGACGGAGGCAAAAAGAAGAGACCGGCGGCAGAGTAGTGGAAGTGAGGTCTGTGGGTGGCCGTCTGCAGAAAAGAAAACAAATCTGTGGGTGTTGTGTTTTGGTTTTTTTTTTTTTTTTTTTTTTTTAATATAATATAATATAATAAAAATAGAGATATATATATATATAATAAAGAAAGTGGGGAACAAGAGTGTAATGAAAAGAAAAAATATAGGTTGGAGAAACATCGTGGGTCACATGGGTGAGTAAAAGAAAAAAAAAATAAAATAATAAAGAAATGAAAAGAGGGGGACAAAAGTTGGTGTCTGGGTGTGATGATAAATAAATAAGAAAAGAGGGGGACAAAAGTTGGGCGGTGGCCTTCGGTACTGTTGGCAGTTGAATTCTGGATCTATGAAGGAACAGGTTGCTATTTTGTGGTGAGGGAGTCGGTGAGGGAGGTGTAAAAGGTGATTAAAAGAAATAAATAAAGAAAGTTTAATAAAATATGAGTGAGTGGCTATTCAATCCTGCCAAAAGGAAGAGAGAGAGAGATGGGGTGTCTTGATTGCCTCAGATCAGTTCATGGATTAAAATATGAGTGAGTGGATGTATGGTGATAGTGGAATAAAATATGAGTGAGTGGGTCTTCAAGTCTGCCAAAAGGAAGATGCTTATCACAGAGCATTATTGATTGCACCAGACAATAACAAGATGTGCAATTTGGGTATTTGCTTGATGAAGCAAGGGAGAATTGCCGAAGCGAAGGAGACTCTTCGGAGAGTAAAACCAGCAGCCATGGATGGCCCAAGAGGTGTGGACTCCCACCTCAAGGCCTATGAGAGGGCACAACAAATGCTTCGAGATTTGGAGTCTGAAATGATGAATAAGAGCGGTGGAGATAGAGAGATGTGATGGAGGCTTTTCGTCTTCTGGAAGTTGCATTGCAACAGTCGGCAACAGATCACTCCACTGGAACCATTGGTATGGATCTCATTACAACTGGGGTCTCTGCAAGTGAAAGGATGAGAAGGGAAAAATCTGTTATCCGCAACTCGCAACATAAGTATGGAGAAGATGCAGATTGGAGGGGCCTCTACTCGGTTCTTGGAGTTACTGGAAGAGTTGGCGTCAATTCGAGCTAGCAGTGGTTTGAGTTGCTGCAGTGGTTATTGGCGGTGATTGGAGAGGAGGTATGTGTTGAGGTCCGGCGGGCGGCCAAGGCGAGACTGCCGCCCGCCGGTGAAGCAAAATTACTAGCTTCTTAACCTTGCTCTGATACCATGTTGAAATTTAATGTATAAAGAGAATTGTATTATTGATTGATATATGTTGTTGTATTTATTACAATGATTCATGATTCAAAAAAAATTTTTTTTGACTGTTGAAATTTAATGTATAAAGAGAATTGTATTATTGATTGATATATGTTGTTGTATTTATTACAATGATTCATGATTCCTATATATAGAAGAGGGTGAGTGTGTAGTAGGTAAGGAGTAGGTGAAGTGGAGGTGGTAGTGGTGTAGTGGGTTAGGTTTAGTGGAGTAGGTGAGGTGGTAGTGGTGTAGTGGGTTAGGTTTAGTGGAGTAGGTTTAAGTGGGTGAAGTAGGTGATAGGGTGATAGGTTTTAACAAAAACTATATTGTAAACGTTAAGAATTTGTTAGCTCATTGTGAATGCAATGCAAATCAAGGTAACACAAGCAGCCCATTCTCTCTTATTCATAGGACCAGTTTGAGGCTTCTCTCTTGCTTCCTCCTTCATATTCAAGCTATAACTATATTGTAAACCTTAAGAATATGTTAGTTACTTGGTCCATTGTGAAGGTTTCAATGCAAATTAAGTCAACACATGGAACACAATCTCTCTTATTCACATAACAGTGGAAGGTGTCTCCCTTAATCCGCCTCTCTATATCTTAGTAAGTACATATATACTCCGTAAAGCAGACATACTGCGTTTTTGGCACCTAAAATGTAAAGTTCTACACAAAGTTCTATCCTAGGCAATAATTTGTGAACTGCAACGAAGGTTAATAGGTAGGAAGCACACGGACACTCCAAAAAAGTGTCGCATCTCTCTGACACGTGTCAAACACAGACACGGGCCACAGAGAAGACACCATGTCCACATGTCAGCCACGCCATGTTGCATGTCAAATTCTATTTTTGTTTTTATTTTTTTTGTAGGACAAGTTGGGGACACTTCACCACCAAGCATGTCTTATATCTGGACGCGCCTCAGGCCACCTTTATAAGTTTTTTAATAATTATAGAAAGCTGGTTTGGGGTCAATAAAATATACGAAAACAAAGAGGGGAAAAATTGGGGAAAAAACTAAAATACCTTCACATGTACATTGATGTCTTTTTTATCTTTGTGCCCTAAATTTATATTCATATACATAGCAAATAAAAATATATTAGAAGAAAAAAAATTTGCCACATCTATGTCGTGTCGATATCCTAATCCTAATTTTTTTTAAATAGTTGTATCCCGTGTCTGTACCCATGTCTTTGTCAATGTCTCTGCCTCTTTAGGTCATTACAAAGAAAATCAAAGAGAAATCCTAATATCCAACGATTCTATTAACTAAACAAAATTGTTTCCTGCTGTCCCGTTAGCACTAATATCAGTGAGTCAATAATGCATGCTTGCAGGTGTTGACGTCATCAAAAAATAAAAAATACACAAGAAAGATACGAAATTGTTCATATCAAGTGAGAATCTAAAGCTGCCAAACATAGACGCCAAATGGCAAGCTGGAAAACAAGAAACAAGTACAAGGAAAAGGAGAAGAGTAGTTCTCACTTGCGTAAAGCTAATATTAGAATCCACATACACATCTGCACCATCCCTAGCAAAAATAGGATCTTCAGCCACCTGAATTCCAACATAAAAGAAAATTCTGAAAACAAATGGGAGTAAACATTGCAAACCAACAGAGATTGAAACTCTTAATGCAAAAAAAGGAAATCAAATCCCAAAAATAGGGCAGCAAAAACTTGAAACCACGGGTCAACTCATGTATATCAGTCCTAAATTACAAAGGCAGTTCAATCAAAGAGGAAAAATTTGACTCTAACAAGAGTCTGTACATTACATAAATAGCAGGTTACTGTCAGCAAAATTTACTCAAACTAAAACGGTACATTTCTCTTTTTTTTTGGACTGAAACCTCCATGTATTAAAATGATATAGATATAGGATCAGTGAGAAAAAAAAAGAATAGAAAGAGATTTAACAGTTTAAACTGTGGGAAGAATAAGTTATTACTATATATCTTGAAAGAGCAGAGCTAGAGCTCAGACTGGTACTAAAGATAAATCCTAGCTTATCACAAAAAACTTCAGCTTAAAGCATAACAGCAAATGACATACTTAAAGAAAAACATAAGCTAAATCTTCTTCAGACAATTTGACCTCAAATACGCTTCAATGCATACTTAATGCCCTTTACCTAAATATTTCATACTAGAGATTGCCCATGAGATGCACAGGAAACAAAGGCTTGGTGCTAAAATGGTAATAAATTTCTAAGAAAAAAATGTCAAAAGTGAATATAATAAAAGGAGAAATGGCATCTAAAGGCAAAAATTTCACCCATTCAGCATGATATTTATCTTTCTTGTTTTCTGCGGTAACCAAACAGAGAAAAATGCTTTTCTCTACACTTCTCTTTCCTTTCCTTTCCTTCACCAAATCTAAAAACCAACCCAAGCAAAAGGAAATGCGCTGAAAATATCTCACCTAAATTTTAGTAAGGGTAAATTCACTATTTGTCATTTGATGAACAATGGGTGATGATTAAGGAAGAGTACTATCTTCTCATTTGATGGATGAGATAATTCTGGACAAAGACAGCTGGAAATTCTGATCATGCTAAATGATGATATCAATTTAAGCATATTGGACTCTTCAATTAGATATGAAACTTCTAAAGATGAACATAAGATAACTAATATGTAAAATGTTAGTAAGAATGGAGCAATATTTGGTGCCAAAGCTCAACTGCCAAAGAAGTTAAGTCTGGGAACAGCCACCTTGTTCAAATAATGCCTAATGCCAAATGCTATGTTTTTTGTACCCAATCTATGTGGTACCAACAATAGTTAATTGCATTGTATTTATTTGTTATTAGGATAATTTTTTTAAATCCAAGCAGAATTGTAGAGTCTTTTTTTTTTGGTACCAATCTCCTAAAACTTGAGTTTTGCGGAAAGTGATTGCCTAACATGCTAACTAGCACAAGCACAGCCATGAGACACAAACATAATGCAAATAACAAACATTGACATGACAAATTCTAGGAAAGCAGGTTCCACACACTAGCAAGGGCACAGGAAAACAGATATTTTATTTTCTTCATATATTATCAATTTATTGTTAGTAAATATACAAGTACACATAAATTTATATTACAAATAAATAAGTTAGTTGTTTTAGTTTTGTATCAACAATTGCATATTGCAAAAGATGGGAACAAGGCACAAATCACATACACTAATATTCTTTTACTTCTACCACTATACTCGTCCCACCCCCGACCCCCTTTATGTCTTATTCTTTGCATATATTGGTAATTTTCCCAAAAGTGTGGGCATTTGCCACATGTCCAACACAAACATGGTTCTAGAAATGTCAGCTAACGCAATATCAAAGATTTGATTTTAGCAAATCATGGGCTCATTTATTCACAGACCCCCACTATTTTTGTTTGCATGCACACTACTCAGTTGTGTTTCCAGCTTATTCCAATTGTTTGTCTCCACATCTAAGAGAAAATCATCCCAAAGGAAGGATGGAACAACTTGATATACAGTGTTTGGTTCATTCCCAAATAGCTAATGTGATGTTGTTGAACAAGAATGGGTGAATTTCAATCCAAATGGGTAGGATATAAAACAAGCTAAACAAATGGCTAGGTTTATAACTATTGGTCTTAATACATGTTGAACAGCTTGATATACATTGTTAGGCCCTTTCCTAACAACTTAAGCTGTTGAGACTAGTGGTGATCTAGCACGGTATCAAAGCACATATTATGACAGGTCTTGGGTTCAAATCTCTCTGCTTGCATTCTGTTTGATTGTTTCCCGGTTTGCATTCTATTTTTCTTCATGTTTGGATGTTTGCATCTCCACATGCAAGATGGGTTTACATGTGACAGAAGGTGTTGGAGAGTTTGATATACATTGTTAGACCACTTCCTTAACAACTTAAGCTTCTGGGACTAGTGGTGATCTAACAATATGGACCTCTTTGTTGATTAAGAATAAAGTTAAGAAATTTTAACAAAATCTTAGTATGTTCTTCAGACCAGGTTGACTCATAATTATAAGCCTGCAAGGAAATCTGAAAAGCCCACACTTCAACATGGAGCTCACAAGAACTAAACTGATTGCACTGCACAAACAACCATAAATCCAAAGAAATTCAAAGTAACAAAAATCACATCAACCACCATCAATAGCTTTGAAATCATTACAGAAGCAGATTGAACCATTCATAGAACAAAGCACCATAAACTAGATCCAAGGTACAACCAGGAAAAAAAAGGTTGAATTATAAAATAGAATTATCTATTATTATAAAATATGAGCTATTATTCATTAGATTTATAATAAAAAATTATCTATTATTAAACCCGTTATCTTATGATCTAATACATTTAATGGAACATAACAAATTATCAAGTTCTCAATTAATTTTTCATTTTTCGTTCTACATAATTTGTGATGTAGTGGAGCTAGTACTTAGAGCACACACAAAAGACAGTCAAACACACAAGCACAAACAAGAGTGCACACACACACAGAACAAAGTAATTCACCACGAAAAATGACTTAGATTAAAACAGTATTCTTTTACTTTCTTTTATAGGTAAGTTAAGACCAAAATTTTACACAAGAACTTCCATCAAGAATGACATAGCAGTACCATTTTTAAAAATTACAATGGACAGTCTTTTGTTTCAAAAAGATAAGCCTCTTATTCACCAGCTGTTTTATTGCTAGTTTAGGATTTAAAATTCTGTCTATACAGCATTATTCCTTTGACTTTGTAACTCTAACAAATAGCCATCTTTTGGCTTGATTTACTTGTCGATTTACAAATCTAGCAGAAGAAACACAAGTAGAAATGACACCATCAATTTTCTCAACATATAGCACACCCTAGACTCTAAAAGCAGATATCAACTAACTTTCAACTGTAAATTTCTCTATGAAAAAAATCAAAACTATGTACAACCGTCAAGAGCCTCACATATAAGCCAAATTTTTTTCGAGTACTAAAATACTTTCAATACAAGAAGTAATACTGTGCCTTTAGTTTTATGTGTAGGCTGCCAGGTTGAGTTCCTTGTCTTCCAGCATTACCAGCTTTTGGAACACGGATTGTATCCCCAGAATCCACACCTAATAAATTCAAAAGGAGGAGAAAGAAATAAACCAACTGTTAAGGTAAACTTTTAATTAAACATATGGATCTCTCAGTGCTAAGTAATGGACACAGAAAGTATTAGCAAATACTTGCCTAGAAAAAGATATAGAAACAGAAGTTGCAGAAACACATACAAATTTCAATATTCTTCAGTATTTAGGCACTTTGTATCATATAGAAATCTAGTACTACAAACCCATTTGTGTTCATTATGCCTATGTTTTTCAGATATTTGGAATTGCCTATTTTAGACACCCTTCATCCATCTTGAACACAGAAACAACTGGAATACAATCTCAACATGAATCACCCAAGATGTGTGAAGCAAGTATTACTTAAACTTGCAGATACAGTTTTCCAACAAAGTGATCGATACAACCGAACTTAACAAGCCTATAGATATAAATATATGGCCTGATAACAAAAAGGAGTCAGGAGTTAGGTTACTGAAAAGTTGCAAAATGAACCAACCTGCCGGTATTGTAACTTTAACCTCCTTGACTCCTTCAACCATGCCTGATCCGCTGCATGCCCTGCAGTTTTCCTGCACCATATACAATTAAATAGATTGAACATTATGAGTATTATTTGCATCCACATAAAAATCAACAAGGTAATGGGATATTATTTGCAACCACACGTCAAACTCAACAGAGTAATTCAGCAGTTTAGCTATCAGACCTTGATGACTCGGCCTGAGCCCTTACAAGTACCGCATGTTGCCGAGAATGGAGGAATTGTAACCTAATAGAAGAGATGGATAGGATTGAATATGAAAATATACTTGAAGAATGAATCATCACACTTCCAAAATAAAAGATTTAGTCACCTAAACAAAGCACACTTTCTCAAAAGGAAGTCAATTGTTGACATTAGTTTATTAAATGAAGCACTTACTCTCCCAAAGCCTTCACAAGTTGGACAAATCTTTGCCTTGGTGTTAAGTGGGTGACCAAGACCATCTGCATCACACAATCAACAAAGGTAAACTCAATTATAAAAGCAGCAATGCAACTTGCCGTTAGAAGATAACAATTGGCATCAATGTGACCAAAGCACGGGTATACTTGAGACATCTCAACCCGACATGGTATCAGAATTCAAATATTCAATAAAAGTTGACAAGAAAAGGTAGCGTTTGGTTTAGTTTTGGAATTGTGATTCTCTTTTTGGAGTTGTGATTTGAGTGTGGAATTGTGAGTTTTTAAAAGAGAAAATTTGTTTGGTTATGAGTTTTAAAAAGAGTTTTGAAAAGAGTTTTTGAATTTTGAATTTTGAAAAGAGTTTTGAGTTGTATTTTAAATTTTGAGTTTTTGAATTTTGAGTTGTATTTTGAATTTTTTGGATTTTTTTTTTAAATATTAAAAAATGTTTAAGAAAATTTTATTTTTTTATTTTTAATATATAATTTTTATTTAAATTTTTTTATTTTAATATTTTATTTTATTTTGTAAATATTTTAATTTTTAATTTTAATATTTTAAGCTCAAAACACAACTCCACACTCAAATTGTAACCAAACACATAACTCAAAACTCAATTCAAAAATTATTTTCAAAACTCATAACCAAACACATAACTCGAAACTCCACATTACTTTCAAAACTCTACACTCAAAATGTAACCAAACACATAACAAAAAAAATTAAAATATTTAAAAATATTTTACAAAATAAAATAAAATATTTAAAATAAAAAAATAAAAAATATATTTAAAATAAAAAATAATTTTTTTTCAATTTTTTAATATTTAAAAAAATACAGCACAAAAATGTATGAAATATAGAGCACATTAAAATAAATAAATATATATTTAAAATATAAATATTTATCCTAAAAAAATTAAAGTAAGAAAATGTTTAAATATTTTTAAAAAATTAATCCAAAAAATTTTAAAAGACAATACTCAAATCATGATTCTTAAAATAATTTTAAAAAATAAAATAAAAAATATTTTTTTTCAAATATTTTTTTAAATAGAGTTTTGAAAAGTTTTTTGATTTTGAATTTTGAAAATAGTTTTGAATTAAATTTTAAGTTGTGTATTTGATTATAAATTTTAAAAAATGTTTTAAAAATTTTCCTCAATAAAAATAGGTCATAATGATAAATGTTTTCCATTGCAACCAAAGGTAGTTGTTTAACACAATCACAAGTCATACATTACATTTCATCAGCATTAATAGAGGAAACACATGGATCATTTCTTGTTCAGTGTCAATTATGTGACGAATAATCGAAAAATAAATAAGAGAACATGAATAAATCTCCTTTTAATTGTTTGATTGTGTTCAACAATTGAGAATGAGGGAAATTATATTATCAAGGTAGAAGATTCTGAATGATTTGATATAACTGTAATAATATATTTCTTTTGGACCATCCAAGACACCACGGAAATTATCTTGAAATTATCCTTGTGGCAACAGAAATCAATATTTCTAAGAACTGAAAACAGAAACTACAAGTTATATACATCAAACAGTACCTGATCAAAAGAATTCATAAAATCTACAAAGAATGATCCAAACTCATAACACTAAAAAAACAAGCTTCCTCACTTGGATATACTTCAACTTTGGATTAGAAATCTCCACAACATCAAAGATTCACCTATAGCTCTCTTTCCTAATACACCAAAATAAAAGAGAATGTGAAGCACTCTCCTAACAGCCCAAAGTGATTCTAAATAATAGCCACGTACCAGTAAAAACTAAGCCCATAGTAAGGGGAAAAACCAACCTAACTACTCAGTCTGTCCCATTTTGTTTATCCACCATTGGAAAAATCTAACTTTTTAAGGGGACAAGAACTAATTATGTTCACATCTGACTAAATATATTATAAGTTTTCAAAACTAACCCTCTAGTCTATCCTGCACTATTAAAAGCATTCAAACTCAATTAAGAGGGGCTGATAATGTAGAATCATAACGCTAACCTTGACTTTTCAATGTGGACAACCATTTTGGGATGGAATAGTGAACAAAAAGAATAGATGAAGGGTGTATAAAAGAAGAGAGAATGAAACACCCATTACCACTTTAAATTACGAGAAAAAGAAATCAACTCTCCCTCAGCACCTTACCAATGATGCAAAGATTTAAAACCGTCATTTTTCTATTAATCAAGCTTCCACTAAAGGGAAACCCAATGCATGACGCTCCCGCTAAAGCAGAAGATGGGAAGGGCAAGATGTACGCAGCCTTAACCCCCATCAAACATTTTCCGTCGGTTCCATGCAAGGAAAAAAAAGCTATCTTTGAGTACCATATGGACACCAAGAACTTACTAAAATGTAAGTCAACAACTCATATAGGATTTTCCTAAGAGCACCCTGTTTACAGTTTGTCAAGAAACCCCGTCATCCACCTTTCCACTGAGCTGCATGCATAGAGAAAGGATGCATAAAACTCTCCAATTCCCATTTCAGCAAGTCCCAAATAAAGAGCGCAATCAAGAAGTCACATCCTCAATTAGATAAGTTTACATTTACCATAATAAACAATAGTTTTATCATGGAAAAAAGAATGAACACACTACAAACTAACCATGTGTTTACTCTAATGCCTTCTATTCCATACAAAAACCATCCAATGCTCTAACAAATTATTAAAGGTGGCTGGAGGAGAGGAGGAAAAAGAAACTACTCTTTTTATGACGATTAGTAACCTAAAAGCAAACTCCTGGTTTAAAAAACCTTCACATAAAGAATCAATCAAATGTTTTTTAATAAACGACTCAAATTTTCAAGCTGGGAAGATGTTCCAAGAGGTGTGCAACTCCAAGACAAAATCAAAGTTTACTCACTGCAAGAATCACAAGGAACACTTGCATCAAAAGACAGGTGCTTTGTGCATCCCTTAGCAGCTTCAGCAAATGAGAGTGACAGCTCCACCTATAACATTTGAAATAGAATATGGTACAAGCATCTTAGCTCAGAAACTCATAAAATCAATCTCACAGGACATATATTCACCATAGGTAAAAATCAACCTGAATATCAGCTGCAAAATTCTCAGCCTCATTTTCAAAAATCTGTGACATATCAAATAACTTCAGTATAATGATAATTGTGTATTCAAAGCTTACACCAAGGATGAAAGAAAAAATACCTCGGAGAAAATTTTGTGGAATGAATCAGAGAAATGAGTTCTATAAGCATATCTAAACCCCTCTGCATCATTAGCTGAATATTTTACATCCTCTGAACTCCTATAGCGCTCCTTCAATGGACATAAACAAAAAGAGAACTCAGCTAGTTCTACAAATTTTGAGTGGAATACAAGATATTGAGGTGCAGCATCTCATCTACACTGAGAGCACGTGCAGACAGAGAAAAGCGGCAATAGAAAAGAAAAAAAAAAACAAAAACAAAAACAAAAACGAAATACAGACAAAAAAGCTAATAAAACTATAACTAGAAAAGTTAAAATGAGAAAAGAGTTGTTACCCTATCATATTGCACTCTCTTTTCGGAATCTTGCAAAGTCTGTAATTCACCTTCCACAACAAAGGGAAGCAAAATGTTGTCATAAAGGGAGAATTATTCAAGTCCAAAGCTATTCACAAATGCAATGAGTTTTCCTGATAATCATATAATATTATTTATTATTAACATTATTATTTATTATTATTATTTTGGTTAATGAGCAGGCAATCAATAGAGGATAAGCTGAGGCATCACATAAACATGCAGTAGGTAATCCGCCACACAGATACAAATACAAACCTCATAAGCATTTCTTATCTCTTGAAATTTTCTCTTTGCAGAAGGATTGTTCTTATTTGCATCCGGGTGGTACTTCTTAGCAAGCTGCACAATGTTATCAAAATCAGAAATTCGACAGATCAATATAATATGCTGAAATTAGTATAGCTTCAAAGCAGAACTCAAGAAAAAGATAGCCATTCTCTCAACATAGTATTTGTCTCATCCAAAATCTAGAAGCAGCCAACCTTTACATCTGGTATTATTGAAAAAGCAAAGTTCCCACAAAAACAGAAAGTTTACTTCTAATTTCACTTCTTCCTAATGGGAAATTTATTTTTTTTTTAAAAAAAAAAATTGAAAGGTTATCTGCATACTTCTGGAAAAATATAACAGGAACGAATGGGTCACCCACCTATGGCACATAATAAAGGGTGTTTGCAACTAAATTGCTCATAGAAAACAAAAAACTCAAGCCTAAAGGATTCTCAAGGATGAGAAAACGTTGTTGGAAACTACTTGCTTTTTATGTTAATTGTGCCTCTTTAGTGGTGCAAATTGCTTTATGTCATGAATTGCTTGATCCATCTTAAATTAGCTAATTTAAATTTTATAAAAACCTAAATGTTCTAATTCAAATTTGTGCAAAAGACTAACAAAACAATTTTTAAATCGTCACATTTAGAGCAGATATATTCTATGTTTCTAACAAAATAACCAAATTATTAGTTTCATTGTAAAACTAAAATATATAGATTTTTGACTTGTTTCATTTTTACATCCAAACGCATTAAATTGTTAATTTGTGAATAGACTAATTCCAAGATAGCCCAATTCGTATTTTTGGGACAACCACATAGGCCATTAGGTTTCATTGCCCGATTTCCCCTTGTAGCATTTTTTTTCTTTTTTCCTCCAACAAATGAGCTCCATTCTTAACAAGAGGGTAAAGAAGTTTAAAACAAAAACAAAAAAGAACTCTATTTAAATTAAGTGCAATACATAAATTTGGATCTCCTCAAGCAATAAGGAGTCAATATTCTGCTACATTGATTTAATTGCAAAGGACAAAAGAACAGCCTAGTGAATTTATAAACCCAACTGCCCATACAAGATAAAGTGAAATCAAAACACTAGTCTCCAATATTCAATGAGTCCAACAACATGTACATAGTGGTGGATATCTCCAAGCATTGAAAAATAAAATAAAAATAAAAAAGACACACACACATCCACAGATCAAATCTTGGCTAAACCAGTTTTTAAGCTTCTAATATCTCCTTACTCAATGCCCAATGACTAAACCTCCTTGAACTTTAAAAAGGCCCATCATATCCCATTTCATCAACTGAACCACAACTCTCTTCCCAAAACGGAACCATAGAGAGTCCATTGAAAAATTAGATTACAAAACTCACTATCCTTTAAATAAGAATTATCAGTGGTAAATTATAGTACAGCATTCCTACCCCTACAATAATATACCCGCCTTTTCACAAAAGTAAGGACGTTTTTTCTCCTTCCACCAAAATCCCAATACCGAAGAATGCGAGAGTTCCCCCTCAGAAAACCTCAATGTATCTCAATGGTCAATCAATAAATTTGCATCCCTAGAAGATTTACAAGGAAAGCTTTCTGTACAGGGTAAGATTCAATAGTGCCAAAATTTGGTATTAAGATCACAGTTAATTTGTCTATTTCATGAATGCAACACGGACACCAAATGGTGAAAATTTAGGAAAATGCAAAAGCTTCTTATACGATATAATTAAAATGTAGCACAAAAATAAAGTTCACCCAAAATGGGGCAAGGAAATTTCTTTTCTCTTCTTTTTTAAAAGAAAAAAACAAAGCAAAATAAAGTGTACCCAAAATGCAAGATAGTGAACTTAGAACCCCATCCCTGGACTGTATATGAATCCTAAAATGTACTCACTGCATGAAAAGCCTTCTTAATCTCATCTCGACTTGCATCTTTGGAAACACCAAGAATTTCATAATAATCTTGCTCTGGGTAGTAACAACATCCTGGAGAAAGAAAGAAAACTATTATAGGGAAAATATATATTGGAAAAGGAAGTAGCAATGGTAGACAGAGTACCCAAAAAAAAGTTAAAAAGAAAATCATCACAGAATCAATATGCCAAAAACTATTGTTTTTTGGGGGGGAAGAAGGAAACCTGTGGCATGAATAAAACGCTTCATTTGCAGCATTCTCGTGGTCGTAAAATCAGCATGCTTTTCAAAAAAACTGCAATTATAGAAATCTGCCAATGCACATACATTTCATTAGTAACTACTCAATTACAAATCATCAAACAATTATTTCACAAATTTTCATTAAAATAAACATGGGTACTACTGCTAAACTACTTTGAAATACAAAGCACACCACTTTTGGCTTTTTGGGCATGGTTTTATATTTTCTACATATTAGAGAATTTATCCCACAATGTTAATATTCAAATACATTTGTGTACAAATTCTTACTGCGACGGTGAAGCAATGCTCGTTGAAAAGTTGAGACAATCCCTTTCAAGTCTCCTTGATCAAATGGTGATTTTATACTCACCGGCGATAGGAAATGCCAGCGAAACTGCAATAAAGACATGAATTACTAAAAAATGCAGCTAGAATAGTAATAAAAATTGAAAATTTAAATGAGTTTTGATTGAATTACCAGCCGATTACGCAACAAAGAATTGGGGGCAAACCCTAAGGGATTGAATCTGCCCATTTGAAGCTAATTGTTGGTTATAAGAGAATAGAACAGTGGCGTGGGACGCGACAGCGACAAAGCTTTGAAGAATCAGAGAAATGAAAAGCGAGGTTGAATCGATTCATGGGTCAGAGAGCAGTAGTGTTTATTAGGGAAAGTTCGGAGCGATAAACCCTTGGTGTTGGGGGTGTAGGGTTTTACGTAACCGTTACGTGCAGCGGTGACATTGGCATCAGGCTTTAGAAACACAAAACAGGGAGGCTTTTCTCATATTATGTCAAATTATCATCTTAATTCTCAAATTAGGCCTAATTTAGATAGAATTCTCAAATTAGACTAAAGTAATATTACAAATAACGTTTTCACTGTTTTGAACAAAAAATTTATGAAATAATGAAAGCGCTATTACAAATCACATTTTTAATTAAGAAAGCGTGGTTACAAACCACGCTTTTAAAACAAATTTATTTTCTTCATAAAACGTGGTTTCAAACCACATTTTTACTATGCTTATTTTGTTTCTGAAGAAAACGTTGTTCCAAACCACGCTTTCACTGTGCATATTGTTTCCTTAAGAAAACGTGATTCGCAATCACGTTTTCACTGTGCATATAATTTAAATTTTATTTTCTGAAGAAAAGATGGTTCTAAACCATACTTTCACTGTCCGTATTTATTTTCTTAAGAAAACGTGATTGTGAATCATACTTTCACTGTTCACTACAATAAGCATGGATTGCAACCACGCTTTAACTGTTCATTTAAATTTTATTTTATTTTATTTTATTTTTTTAAAATTTTTTTTTTCTGTTGTCATTGTTTTGGTGATAATGTAATTCATAATTTTTTTTTTGGCTTTACTAAAGCCATTCTCATGTTAATTTTTTTTTTTTTTTCTTTTGTCTTTGTTTTGGGTTAGAAGGTGTAATTCAAAAAAAAAAATTTGACTTTACTAAAGCCATTTTCATGTAAATTTTTTTTATTTTTTGTTTTGTCTTTGTTTTGGGGTAGAAGGTGATAATGTAATTCATAAATTTTTTTTGGTTTTACTAAAACCGTTTTCATGTAAAATTTTATTTTTTTTTCTTTTATCTTTATTTTGGGTTAGAATGTGTTATTCAAAAATTTATTTTAACTTTACTAAAGCCGTTTTTGTTTAAATATATATTTTTTTCTTTTGTCTTTGTTTTAAGTTAGAAGGTGGTAATGTAATTCAGAAAACCGGTTTAGTAAAACCGTTTTCTAGCCGTTTTCATTATAAAAAAAAAAAATTTCTTTCGTCTTTGTTTTGGGTTAGAAGGTGATATACATGCTCTACAGTCCGAAGCACATCCACACACTGTGCAGTTCAACAAACAACGACGAAGGGTGAGACGCAAAGAGCACCGCGAAGTAGGCTAAGAAGATGAAGGCCACCGCAAGAGCTGCAGCAAGAAGGAATAAGAGAAAGACCTCAAATTTTGGTGATGTATTTTTTACATACGAATGGTACTTTTTCCATTTTTTGCTATGTAATGTAACTTGTATGTAATTTGAATTCTGATTACGAACAGGAACTTATGTAATGTAAATATTGGGTTGGAGTTGATGTTATTGTGATTCAATTGGTTTCACTTATTTCATAAGACTGATATTGTGCAATGAATGAATGAATGGCAAGGTTATTTGTTTTATTCAATTGGTAGTGTATTTTTTGTAAGAATGAGAACGTTAGTTGTTATATTCAATGAATAATTGTTACATTTTTGAGTTGTCATGATTGAGAAGATGAACAAGCTAAGAAAATGTGTATTTCTCCTAAAATAAATTTTGTCAACATTTTTGTAATAAAACTTAATACATAATATACGAAGTCACTAATTTACTAAATAGTCATACAGGCATGAAAACAACATAACTGAAGTTGCAAATGTAACAGTTTTCAGTTACATAGATAATACAGACATAAGTCTCCCACAAAAATACATTCTGGACACCATGAACTGAACACACAATACATACATCCTGGACACCCTGAACTGAACACACAATACATAAACGTAACAGTTAGACAGACAAATATTAGGTAGACAATCTGACAAACTCATTACGGAAACACTTAGTCTAACACAGACATTACATATTAATGCATGACCTAATATTGCCGAAGTGTAGACATTAACACCTAATTCGCGCTTAAATCGGCAATCTCAGAGTCTGAATAATCCGAAAGCTCAGCGTCAGAGACAAGTTCAGGATCCTCTATGATACTCTTGATAGCCGCAACATTTGGTTATGTTCTATTCTTCTGGGCATCCTTCTTAACTATGTATAGTTGCATATCGCGGGCTAACCTACAGCACATTTGAGAAATCTCACGTTGTAGTCTTTCACATAGTCGATCAACATTATCAGGATCTTCCTTTTGGATCTCAACAGAACGTGTTTTTGGCACCTTAAGTTGATTTTCCCGACTTAAGGTTTCTAGCTGTACTCGCTGTATAAATAGTACGGACCACTTGAGACGAGCAGCGTCAGATAAACCATATCCTGTTTGATTGTCAGATGGCTCCATACATGAACCTCCTTGAACTCGATAATACTTGGGCATCAAAAAATGTCACTTTCCAAACCTATCACGATAACCACAAGCATAATCTAAAACAGGTATTGTTGTTTCGTCTTCAGCATCGCCACGTCCCCTTCCCCCTCCTCGTCGTGAACTGTCACCCCTTTGCAAGTTCCTACCACCTCTGCAATTCCCACTCCCTCCCATGAATCGTGTAGCCATGCTAATTTTTTTAAACAAATGAATGATAATTTCGTAGGGCGAAATGAGTTGTAAGGTTGTGTCTTCACCTTTAGTCGTTTATATAGTTGGTTATGAATGGCTTTAGAAAGACATTGAAGGAAAAACCATAGAAAATAAATGCCTCTGCATGACAATCCCACATAAACAAACAAGGTATGAGTTGTCACTAGAATGAAAAAACAGAGAAAGCAAATAATGTGTACCAAGTCACGTGACTTGACAATCCATCTGCATATACCGATAAAATAAAGGCATGCTCACTGTAAGGTAAATCGGTGAATTCACTGTTGCCATGTGACTTTCTGAATTGACAATCCCGTATATATCAATAAGAGATGAGTTGTCACTGTAATCAGAAAAATAGAGAAAAGCAATGTCTGTGCACCAAGTCACATGACTTGACAATTCATCTGCATATACCGACAAAATAAGGGCATGCTCACTGTAAGGTAAATCAGTGAATTCACTGTAGCCATGTGACTTTTTGAATTAGGAATTTCACATATATCAATAAGAGATGAGTTGTCACTGTAATCAAAAAATCGAGAAAACCAAAGCCTGTGCGCCAAGTCACATGACTTGACAATCCATCTGCATATACTGACAAGTCTCTCCACGATTTGACTACTCAATGTGTGAAAAAAGGAAGCTTATGTAGGCAATGTTGTGTTTCACTTAGCTATGCATCATTTGTTGTTATGACCAACTATTTGTATTTCATTGAAAAGTATGACTATTTGAATTTTTGTTGTCATTTGGAATTATTTTAAAATCAACTTTTGAATATTCAATTTGTAATATTTTGGGAAACATTTACAACATCAACTGAACATTGGTCGTAACGTACCCATCCGCAGATCAATCGTAACAAATTTGTAAATCCCACGTAGGCCCACTTAACCCCATAGGTATGTAAGATTAATTGTTATTTACATTTTTTCTGGAAATCACTCGTAATAAATTTGCAAATCTCACGGACAACCACTTAACCCAATAGTGTTGGAAGACTAGTGTATGAAAGTATTGTTGGAATGGAAATGTATATATTAAAATAATTGTTATAAATTTTAAATCCAAAACTTACTCGGTTTTCGAATTTCCAAGAACAATTTTTTGGAAATTATTTAATTCCCCACCTGGACCAACCACTTGGCTTTGAGCTTGTTCGTCCTGGCCCCAAGTTTAGTTTTCTGTCAACCTCCCATTCCTTACCAGAGTCATTATTTTCACTAGACTTCTAGGAATTGAAAGATGACTCTTTCTTCTTTCCTGATGGAGATTGAAATTCTTTACATACAGGTCACTATTTGAGGAGCCCTTGTTAAGGGAAAATTTTGACTGAGCTACCTGTTCTGTGAGAACCCGAATATAAAAATTAAGTAAATAGTTAAATAATAATAATATTACAATCTCAAATATTTTTGTGGTCAATCCTAAAGTGTAAATTAAATATTTGGAAGGTCTTTTAATTAATTTTTAAACCTAAAATAAATTTATACTGGAAATCTCTAATTTAGAGATAAGATTTTAATAATAATAAAATAAATAAAAACAAAAGGATAAGGGAGTCAGATTTTTTAAAGTGTGTGGGTAACCCTAAACTCTCATATTATTCAACTACCAGCCATGAAGAGGAGATAGGAGTAACTTTTGGTGAAAATTGAACAACTAGTTTGGTGCTTTAATAACTCCATCTCCAAGGTTGAAACCAATATTCTGTGAATATAGTTATTTTGTATTTATGTTTCTGTGCATTCATTGGAAGATGATGGAATGAAAGCTTAACTGATTAGGTGGCTTCAATATATATCTGGTTAATTGTTGGTGTCAAATAGTGTAATGGGTATAGTGGATGTATGAAGAACAAGTATATGGCATGGGTTATATTCCATGAGTGTTTTTGCTTGTAATGGTGGATCTTGTGAGTGAAACGTGGGCTAGGTAGGAGTACTTGGCCACCAATGTTTGTGAATATCATATGTATTTTATGTAGTTTGAGGAATATCAGATGGGTACATAAAGTTGAGGGTACAATCTATGAGTATGAAATTCTACACATAACCACAATCTTTAAAACTGAAGAAACCTTATCAAACGGATGAATTTTGAACTGAAATTTTTACAGTTGATTAATTACATATTGAATTGCATATCAGAATTTTCTTATAATTTTTGGGAGTCAAAATTTATATTAACTGGTGCATTCAAATCTGTCCAAAAAACTGGTGTTACATAGTAATTTCAGAAGTGTTGGTCTCTTTGGGTATAAATCCGAAAAATATCAAATCAGCGTCATTAGAACTGGTTACAAGTCTAGTTTCTTACATTTTTGGCCTTGCGTTGATTGCTATTCTATACTAAGAGAATCGTCAATTTCTTTAAAGGGGTGTAGAAAACTATCTGTTTGGGTATAATTAATTGTAAATAGTTATTTTGACAAGCAAATCAAGTAAAATCAATTGGGTTTTAAA